GTCTTGCCTTATCTTACAGGCTAATATCTCTACTGCTATAACAAAAATTATCGCACTGCACGGACATCCTTGTCGGATTCCACGTTGAATGTTAATGGGTTCAGATATCCATCCATTATTTATTACTGCGCTTTTAATATCTGTGTATAAAGTCTTAATCCATTTAAGCATAGAATTTTGAAATCCAAATTTTTTTTAAAGCTGAAATCATAAAATCCCATTCTAAAGAGTCAAATGCTTTTGAGAAATCTAAAAATAGTAGTGCCCCCTCTATATTAAATCTTTCTGCATAATCAATTATATCCTGGACAACTAATAATACAATGTTGTTCATCTTTAATCTTCAAGCAAAATAAAAGTACATGTCTACAAAACCCTGACTTTTTTCTAAATAGGAAGTTTTATATCTGTCTCTTTCTATTATGGGATCATGGGCACTGATTCTCAATTTACATTTGGCTTTTTTTCAATCGAAATTGTATAAATATAGATAAATTTCTTAAGGAAAACAAGTTTTTAAATTTAAATAAGTTAATAAATATCTAATTTAGAACTTTTTTATTCTCAGTAAAGTTTTGTTGTGTTCCCAATTGTTATGAAACTTCAGAAAAATTTTGCTTAACTGATGACTTGATACAAAAGTTAAGCTTTACATCATAATTACGAATATTCAGCTTTTTAGAATTTTAATGAATGGGTGAATACCAGCATTCGATATTAATAGTAATATTTCACATTGATTATACCACTATAAAATGTAACGGAAATCTATCAAATTTACTTAGCACTGCGAAGCTAGAGGACTTTTAATTTACACTTAAAATACACTTCATATATATCGGGAATTTGATTTTTCTAAAAAAAATGACAAAAAATTATAATAAATATCATTGCTATAAATTATTGAAATAAATATTAATGTTCTTCCTGGTATGCTGAAGAGCTTGTTCTGAACATACCTGTAATTTCACTGCCGAACATTTAAAAAGGTTTATATTGTATGGTTGAAATTAAGTTGAAAAATAAAAAAATATCTTTGAAAACAAAATAGAGCTCTTAGTGATTTTTTGTATAATTAGTCTTTACCTTGCGCTAAAAGTCCATCAGATGTAAATTTTAAACCTAGTAAATATTTGTAACTATTGACACATATACCCTTATATCTTTCTCAAAAGAGAAATATTCTTTAAAATATTAACCAGGTTAGGTAAATATAATAACTTTTTTTTTTTTTTTTTTGATAGATTGACCTCTGAAGACCATAGCATCTAGTACAAAATTGGGATAAACCATCAAGTCGTTTTATATATATTATATAATTTGAAAAATTGCAATTTTAAATTAAATAGGCAACGCTGACAACCATAACATGATCTAAAAACAATTCATGTATACATACAGGAAGTTAAACTGAGCTATAAAATTAAACAAAATCAATTCAATAGTAGCCTATCTAATTTTAAAATTGACAGTCTTAATACTGTGTAAAGACGTCAGGAGTGCAGGCAATAATGACCCAATCCGTATGAAATAAAGATCATACACGTTTTGGCAGGCAATACTGACCCAACATAGAAGCATAGCATTTTATTACTAAAGATCATATTAACGTTTTGGCAGGTAATGCTGACCCAAAACAAGATAGTTGTAATTGTAGAAAATAAAGACCATAAACGTTTTGGCAGGCAATACTGACCCAAAACAGAAGCATAGCATTTTATTTCTAACGATCATATAGACGTTTTGGCAGGCAATGCTGACCCAAAACAATATAGTTGTAATTGTATGAAAAAAAAATCATCAACGTTTTGGCAGGCAATGCTGACCCAAAACAAGATAGTTGTAATTGTATGAAATAAAGATCATAAACGTTTTGGCAGGTAATGCTGACCCAAAACAATATAGTTTTAATTGTATGAAATAAAGATCATAAACGTTTTGGCAGGCAAAACTGATCCAAAACAGAAGCATAGCATTTTATTTCTAAAGATCATGTAAACGTTTTTGGCAGGCAATGCTAACCAAAAAACAATATAGTTGTAATTGTATGAAAAAAAGATCATTAACGTTTTGGCAGGTAATGCTGACCCAAAACAAGATAGTTGTAATTGTATGAAATAAAGATCATCAAACGTTTCGGCAGGCAATGCTGACCAAAAACAAGATAGTTGTAATTGTATGAAATAAAGATCATAAACGTTCTGGCAGGCAATACTGACCCAAACAGCTAAAGCATAACATTATATTACTAACTTAATCCTTTTTATCCTGTAAAATTCCATAAACGCATTCGACTTCAATCCTTGAATTACGGAGACGAGAATTCCACCCATTAGCTGCAGCAAAAGTCTTTTTTTCTAAAACTAGGTGCTGTATAGTACCGAGAGTCGAAATCAATTAACGACAGAGCCAACTTTAAAGAGGTGGTAGAATAAGAGCTTGCAACTGGTGCTTCAGACTTTCATTGAAACTAGGGTCCAGTTGTGTATCCAAATGCTGATCGAAGACACCTTTTGAAATTTAGTATTGATAAAACAGTCAACGTAGACTTTGGCCAGTCAAGGATTATTGTTGATACGACTCGCACATCCAGATCAAAATTCTAATCTCAAAATTAAGTATGTTTCATAAACGTCAGTGAAACACCGGCCCATCAACATTCGTATGTTTGTATTATCGGAACTATGGCATACCACTGATATATAAAAGTATATGTACGTTGTTGATATCAAGCTTTATTGCATATTTCCTTCAATGGGCGAAAGTTCTTACGTATATGAATACCAGACTCGGTTCTCTTCGTCCATACTTAAAACATGAAATAAACAAAATTAAAATGTAAAATAATGAAAAACAAAAATTGTCATTATGTAACAAACTCGATCTAACTCTAGAACAGCAAACATAACACATGTAAAGGTATAATATGCGATAATTTAATTTTTTAAATTTTTTTTTAATCTTTTTTTTCTTCAATCAATCAACCATTAAACATATATCATGTATATATCAGGTATTAAATGGAGAGTATGAACTTTAAACTATTATCGGTGTATTGATAACGTATGTTTTGTCCATTGTTACTTGCAATAGTAAATCTATTATAAATTAAAAGCAAACGACCATACAATGCTTTAGTATTGGTATAAAGATTATCAATTAAGTTCATCGCAACCCAAACTATATGAATTATACTAGTAAACATACATTAGAAACATGTATCAAAATACTGACAAACATGTGAAACTAGCTACATGTCTTAAAATACTGGCAATTATACATGTAGCAAAAGGATTAATTACAAAATAATTTATTCAAAACCAATCACCATGACAAAATTAACAAAGTGGCATGAGTTTCATGACGAAGCATAAAACAATACCCACTACATAATAACATATTTGCAAAAGCAAATACACAAAGGTCATAATTCCAAGCTACCACAACCTCTGCAAAAAAAAGTAGCATGAGTTTCATGACGAAGCGTAAAACAATACCAACTACATAATAACATATTTGCAAAAGCAAATACACAACGGTCATAAGTCCAAGCTACCACAACCTCTGCAAAAAAGGTAGCATGAGTTTCAGGACGAAGCATAAAACAATACCCACTACATAATAACATGTTTGCAAAAGCAAATACACAAAGGTAATAAGTCCAAGTTACGACGACCTCTGCAAAAACAAATACACAGAGGACATAAGTACAAGCAACCACAACCTCTGCAACAATCAAATATCGTCCACATTACCCAAACAGGCAAAGACAGACAAATTGGTTTGTAATAAATAAACATTGGGTTGCGATACAGGTAAGAGACATATCCTTTTTATACCGTTAACATAAAGCAAACAAGGTACACGTGCATACATTAAAATATTGACCATTATAGCAAATAGGCTAACTTACAAAATTTTTTGCTCCAAACCAAGCACAGTGACGAGATTTACAAAAGTAGCATGAGTTTCATGACATAGCATAAAACAATAAACACTACACAAAAACATGATTGCAAAACCAAATACATAGAGGTCATAAGTACAAGCAACCACATCGTCTGCACCAATTAAGATATCGTCCACCTTACCCAAAACAAGTAAGGCAAATTGGTGTGTAACACAATAAACAATAGCTTAGCGTATTACTTAAACTGTCTGCCTTTTTCATATAAGAGTGTTTAAATGTATGGAATAGTTAATAATATCATATATAAGTATGTAACTTTTCATTCTATAATGTATGTTTATATCGTTATTATTTTCATTATTATTATTATTAGTAGTATTAATATATATATATGAAATAGGTTTTAACCATTCTTTGTTAATGAGCGTATGCCAATAAAATTTTGTATTTGTATTTAATGAACCATGTCTCATTCAGAAACATAAGGCGTTCTGCAAACATTAGGATGCCTTATGCTTTTAAATGTACCACGTCATATGCTATTAAGCATCCAGTAACTTGTGAAAATACAATATCGGGTTTATATTCAGCTATCATTTTCCATAAGTACGGTAAATAAGTACATTTTGATCGCAAACGTACACAAAAAGATAAATTTGACCAACTGCTACGTGCATTGCATAAAACAAAATCGTGTAATCTATACGAATGAAAGAATGGTCAAAAGGTAACTGTACGTTTGTCTAGAATGTAAGCATAAAATAGCTTAAACATAAACGTATAGTTCGAAATTGCAAAAAGGAAATCACTCCAGCCCAAAATTATCCATTAAATTTAAATTTTTCACAAATTGTTTGATAAGAAATACAAGTTAACACGTCAAGAGCTGATAATAAAAGGAAGTGACCACAACGCACTTACACGTGAACTCGTGCTTCAAAATGCAACAAGCAATTAGCAATCATTATAAAAACACAATAAAAGACAATATTGCATCAGTAGTTGAGTTAAGAAGATGAATACAAAATGTAATTTAAAAAAAAAATAATAAACTTTAATTATAATTCTAAGTATTGTTGTGTTAGTTATGACAACTGATTGCAAACGGATTAATAATTAAAAACGGCTGTCTATGGCATTTATTATGTTGGGTTGCTTTCACAGACGTGTATCCCATATAACTGACACATCGTCAAAGCACATAACTAATTTATGCATTACTACACGTGTTTGGATATTTTAAATACAGCCTAATAATGATAATGTATGAATTACTTCCATTCTTAACATCGTTTGTAAAATACTCAAGTATGCTATTACAAGGTTTTTTTTAACCAAGTTGGTGTATGCTATTGCTTGTCATTGAACGAGTATTCACATACCTAATTGATTAAATACAAATATACTGTTAATCTGGCTGGTTTTATTATACAAAACAGTCGACGTTGATCCTGGTGTTTTATCCAGCATTAACAACTCGTTCTCGTTAGCATAGTAAATGTAGCCACCAAAGACACCAATAGCGTAGTAATAGTATCCAAAACGATTTGTTGAAATAATTTTTTTAACATCAGAACCATCATACTTAGCTGATTTTATGTCACCATCGTGATTAATCCAATACAGTCTTTTTTCATCAGGGTCTACAATATTTGGAACAATAGGTCTAACAATTATAAGTAATCAATAATGTACGAGCGCCACATGAGGTTAATTTTGATAAAAATTCGTTGCTAAAGTGCATGGCAAATGCACTCGGATAAAAGTGGTTGAACCAGTTTTTTCCTGCATGTGTTCCATGACGTTATAATCGTAAAGAACACAACATCATGTTGCGTAAACAAATTTATTTTGAAAAAAATAACCTTTTGTAAGAAACTAAATTTTATTTGACTCTGATTGTAGATTCTCTATATGATACATAGACAAGATAAGATCGTGAACAAAGTTCACGTCAAACTTACAGGTACATTGACCTGTTTAATATTAAGTTTAATCAAGTTTAATCTACACACAGTCTTTGTTCTTCAATTTTCACAAGTTATTTCTACATCTAATGATTAAAGATAGTTACAGCAAGTGACATACTAGTACTTATTGTCGTATTTCATTAAATGCAGTCCAATGATCGATCTTAATATAAGATAGCTGTATGCGTTTTGATTGTTCAAAACCAATCGATACTGTAGAGTATATATGTCAAACCTAATGTAAGCCAAATAAATTTAAAGTAAAACTCATATGGAAAATGATACTAACATTGTGTTCATGAAGTAATTTCCCACCCAGTGTCTTTTCAAATCCGCGACACGCTAATAACAAAAGACCAACAATATTTTCAAAGTTCATGCTGTAAACCATCAATTAAATTTTATACAACATATTCTTCAGTTTTTTTTTAATTCTATGTGCATGTTACTGAAATGCTTAGTATGATATCTTCTTACAAATTCAAATGCACGATTGAAGGCATTGTTTTTTTTTCTCATAAAAATTGCTTATTCATCCTTTTTTTTTATATCATTTGATGTTTTGTATTTTGTTTACATATAGGAAAGCTTGCACGACTATTGCTGGTACATATTTTCATGAACATAATTAAACAGATAGATATACAATTGGACTGACTATGGATTAAAACACAAACATTATCTTACAAATAAAACATGACACATTGTGACATGATAAGCAATAGCACAACAGTGATAACCAGAAACAACGTACCTATGTCCATACAAGAAACAAGTATTGATGTAAAGCTAACGATCGTCTGTTTTTCAAATAACTCGAATCTAGACTCCGATATTCCTAAATTGCGTTCAACTATATACATCCACCTAGAAAACAGATCAAAGTGACTACTTAACGAAAACAAAGTTGCAAGTTCAATTTTGCTTCAGTATATTAGTGTTGTTTCTTTATACACAATTACGAGAGAGGCTGACTATAATACATGGGGGATATGATAAAACAACTGCTTATTTTTATATCAAATTGTCCCTTAAATTGGTAACAAAATTAAGTGTTTTATCAGTTTCATGTTTGAGGAATTCATGCTAACCCACACGTCAAAACAGGATCTAACTCAACATGAGTTTAACTAGCAAATAGAAGTCACCTGGATCATGTTTCAATATATCAGGTCATGCTTTCTATGAACATTTCTATCATTAATGTGATAAAATTGTTGGTGTGGTAATTTAATTGTATACGCATCATTGGTTATGTCACTGTGACCTCTATTATCCCACGTATATATATATATATGTGTGTGTGGGTGTGTGTGAAGGTGTTTTCGTTAATTAAAATAAACAACATTACAAAAGATTGGGATGATTTTAGTAGCTGTTCATACTAATGCCCGTAACTGATATAAAATACATGTTTTTTTTTATATCCCTAGCTATTTAATTCCTGGTTTGGAGCAGATGTTTTTATCATCAAAACAGTAAAAAAATATTACATTTTCTGCATTTCAAAACATTACTATAACATGTATTAAACCCCTTTCCGGATAAATTCTTGAAAAACAGCAAATATGTTTGGTAAACTGTTTATTTACTGAACAAAATGGAAATCGACTACTAATTTTTTAAATGCTAACTTAAACTAAATTGTTTCAGTTTTGATTTGAGGAGTAAAACCATTTTCAACAATTTCAATATGCTCTAATGTTGAATTTTTTGGCCAAGTTTTCGGGTACTTGTCTCATTATCAACAATTCCACATTTCCTTATGATAATACTATTTTAATAGTACATCTCAGCACTTATTCAATAGAAATACAAGATAATAAGTTATTACCTAATAACAATTTCAATCTTATTTCAACCTTTGTTAATCAACGCAGAAATGTAGTATACTATTAAAACATATTCGTTTTTTTTTTTGTATTAAAGATTCAGTAGCTTGATCATTTACTTTTATCATATAGATGGTAAAAAGCTCTTGTATATGCACTCATTATAATTAATTATTGTTCTGCACAAGAATCAAATTAATTGGAAAGTATAAAAACGCAATCTTTCTGACTGGTGACATTCAATCAGAATGCCTCATGTAGAGAAAACGATACGCTTTCCGCCTTTTCAAGAACCATTGCAACAACTAGTTAGGCGACATAAGATGATTCGATCACACCCAACAAACTACTTCATCTTGTTCATTAAGCAGTACCTATTGTCTGTAGTTTTTTTGTTGTTTTTTTTTTTTTTAGTTTGTTTTATTCATGAATATGCGGTATATAGATATAAGAAGATGTGGTATGAGTACCAATAAGACAACTCTCCATCCAAGCCACAATTTGTAAAAAGTAAACCATTATAGGTCAAAGTACGGCCTTCAACACGGAGCCTTGGTTCACACCGAACAGCAAGATATAAATGGGCCCCAAAATGACTAGTGTAAAACAATTCAAACAGGAAAACCAATGGTGTAATCTATATAAAGAACGAGAAACGAGAAACACTTATGAACTACATCAACAAACGACAACCACAGAACAACAGGTTCCTGACTCAGGACAGGTGCAAACAAATGCAGCGGGTTTAAACGTTTTAACAGGCGCCAACCTTCATCCTAACCTGAAACAGTAGAATAACATTACAACATAGAAAGACACACTATAAAATATCAATTGAAATGGTTTATCTAGATCAAAAAGAAATATTAACAAAAACAAGTAAACATACACTGAACGAATAAATTTGATCTGTATGTATGTCATTAAATGTTTAGCAAGTAGCAATTAATACATTGTGAATATATCATTTTAAGCTATTTTCCAAGTCTATTTTTGAAAATGACCATGCCCAACAATACCTATACATACTGTTTATATAAATCCCCTGGCTTGGAATCTTTTTTTTTTTTAAATAGACATGAAATATTTGCGTATTAACATGTTAATTTCAGTATGAAAACAAATATTCCTGAACATATCTATCAATAAAAAAGTTTTTTATTCATGTAATTGTTGGAATGATTTTGGTTCTCGACTGATTTATTCATGATGTGATATCACTTACATAAATTAATGGTTTTTCATTTGCTTTATGGAAAATCTTCCGTTTTCTAAAGTGTTTAATTTTTCAGTTAATGAAAACCTCACAAAAAGTTAAATTTTACTAGTGCTCCCTTTCTAGTTATGAATATGTACTCAAACTGAAATACTCAAATACTAAAATCTTCTTTTTATCTGCTCAAATACGGATAAAAGTATTTCCGCTGAATTATTCGTACTTAATATGCATCTAGGGATATCTTTAACTGCAGTTATGATTATTAGTTTCACTCTCATTGTTGAGAAATAGGACGTTCGTTGTAAAAAAGAGAATGTGTAAATACTTTGTAATGTCAAGAGTTGATCTTTTTTTTCTCATAAACTAGTAACATGTTATCATCGTCACTTATTCACGATCACCTTTTCGTGAACCTTCGTTTTTTTAACGAAAATGTTCATGTATATTATACATAACTTTATATCTACTCTAGCCCTTTTAAAGTTTTGGCTGAGCTGCTACATTTATAATGCAAGTTTAAAAAGCTCCATAGGACATTATCTTATACTACTACCTTTATTAAGAACTACCCTACTCGTTTACCTTAAACCTGGCTTCACCTGCTTTTGTTTATCTATATCGTTATGTGCAAACATAATAAACTTAAGGAAAAATTGCTGCATGACCATGAGACTGGTGATGATGACTAATTTGTCTAATTTTTGAAAATTATCTACAAACAATATTATATTTTATTTAAAGTGTACTACTCTTACAGTATATTAACGATTAATTTCTAATTGGATCGATACTTTCCATTGCCATCAATACCTTGTCTTATATTTTTCAAATTGAAAGTGTGCCATGTTTTGACTTCTATGTAGCATCGTTAACAGTCCAACAGCACCTGCATACGAAGTACATATCTCCAAGTTTATACGATATTCCAGGGTTTGTTTATCCTATTATGATTTCTTTGATAGAGGGTTGCTACTCAAGAGTAAGCTATTAAAGCAAGAGTTCCAAAGAGTTAAGTTGAAATCATCCCTTCGTAAACTTTACGGACGCCATCACGGGTTAGTTGACCATAATGCAATATCTGTTTGACAGATGACGACTGATATGTTCCAATTGTCGTGACTACAATCCCTTCCTTTTTCCTCGAAAGTGACCTACCGAATAAGACTAATCACCGGGGTGTACTCACATGAGCAAAACGACGGGTGACACGTGTGGAGCAGGATCTACTTACCCTTCCAGAGCACTTGAGATCGCCCCATATTTAAGTGGTGTTCGTGTTTCTATGTCATTAGTTTTCTATGTTGTATTTTGTGTATTGCTATTTGCCTGCTGGTCTTTTTCTGATTCTATGTATGTATGTTGGCGTTTGTTTTTGTTGCAGTTCAGTGTTTCTGTTGTTCCATTGTTTTACTCTTATAGTTGATGTGTTTCCCTCAGTTTTGGTTTGAAACCCGGCTTTGTTTTTGCTAAATCGATTAATGATTATTGTACAGCGGTATATTAATGTTGCCTTTATTTAGCCATGGTGTTTTCAGTTTATTTTTCGACTTATGAGTTTGAATGCCCCATTGATATCGTTTACCTCTCTTTTGGTCTTGGACGATTTTTCATACTTTTTATAAAAAAAAGCAAATGTCTTGCTGAATTTTCTAAATAAAACGTAATACCTGTTTGTAACATCAAGTCGTACCACAAATGGATAACTCAGGGAAGAAGTTAACACAGTTACATTAGTTCCGTCTAGATTGCATCTTGAGAGTTTGTGTCCGGTATAATCAACCCAGTAGAGATGATCATTGGCTGAATCAACAGCTATTCCTACTGGGGATAGTACACTTTCTGGACAACTGTCTGTAATGTTCTATTCTTTAGGGGATAAGGAAATCTGTATAAATTAAAAACCAATTGTTCAGAGAACAATTGAAGGTCTTTCCACCCGAAACGATATATTTTGATGTGAAAAATATTAAAACTCGGTTAGAAATGTAATTTTCAGCGCCAAATGAGAGCTTATTATACGTTGAATTTAAAAATATATGGTTTCTATACATTTTTGTGTGAAATAAGGGAGATAGTTTGTTACTTCCGGTTTGAAAAAGGCACTTCCGGTATCATTTGATAGTTTACTTGACAGTGATTCCAAAAATATATGGGTCTATGTACTTTTACATTAAATATGGACAAGAAAAAGCTACTTCCGGTTTACAAAAGGTCATTTCCGGTTGATTTTTTCAAGGTGATATGGCTTGCAACTTAATGCACAAAGTACCATAGCTTTATCAGGCGTACATTAAAAGTTAAAGCAAAGGTCAAAATTTAGAACGTCAGATCAAACTTTGACCTTGACCCAAATATCAAGGTCATGAAACAAGGACCTCAAATCAAAACACTCTAGGTCTCTACTACATATTGTTAATGAGTTATATTACCATACAGCTAATATTAGATTGAATGTCTACGTACCCTTTCAACTAAAATTTACGTGTTACGACATGTCGCAACTAACAATTCTGCAAAAATATCAAAATTTAGAATATGACCTTGACCTTTGACCTTGACCTTATTTTCTTTTTATTTTTGGACCGATGACCTCAAATCAAAAGACCACAGGTCTCTATAAGTTATGGGTTTTCAGTAACAAATGGACATCACTTATATCAAATGCATAAGGGGAAATAACTCTCATATGGAGTCTCTGGATAGCTTCGGTCAAAATTTATCAAATCATCCTGAGGATATAACGAGCAATTTGGTAAAATAAATTAGTCGGTGTCTTTTGCGGTTGCGACGTATAAGTAATAACAAGAAAAACAGTGTTCGGGGAGATAACTCTTACATGGAAAAGTTGAAGGTTACGCGGTGTCAGTTTCAAAAGCGTATTAACTGTTCGATATCATATACAATATGTCTAAGCGACATCTTGCGAAACAAAAAAACAGCGAAGGAAAAAAAATTAAGCGGAAGAAAAAAATAATAATAATAATAATCAGAACAAAACCAATAGGTCTTTCCACGGAAAAGTGGAAAGACCTAAATATAAACATTTCTGAAATAAAATAATCATTTGGAACTTGGTCAACTTAACACACGTGTATTGAAGTTTCTATGACAATATAATCTTCAATATTTGTATCCGAACGTCATCAATTTAGGAAAAATTGACATGATTTGATAAATTGTTTCTTCTAAGCTTAACCAGGAGAAAGACAATTATAAAACTATATATAAATCTCATTAGTAGGTCGGTCACCGTTTTTTTCTGTTCCTGTGAAGAGCATATTATATTCAGTATCAACATCATCATAAAATGACCTAGCAATACATTATTTCTTCTTATTTATTGCTTGGCAAAACTTTTACTTGTACTTGATAGAAGTCTCAGTTATAAAAACATAAAATAACATAAATAAAAAAATTCGTTTATAATAAATCGTTTTGCGACTTTCTTTATTTCTATTTTAGAATATCTCTTTCATAGCAAAAACGCAATTGCATTATGATGTAGGCACTTAGGCCTGAGTATTAATAAAATAATACAATCTTACTATTACTAGTGGCAACACTGGCTCAACAGAAGTATATGGATATGTAGTTCCGGTTATTTAATATGTATTCACGTTAATAGAATTAATATGTTTTAATTTTTTTATGTTTATATTGGACGTGTTACGAAATAGTGTATACTCGGCCCTGAGGTTGACATATTAGACTTTAAATGTGGGTAAATCGTATTTTAAAACACAAAATTGGTTTAGAGATTTAAATTACCTGTGTATCATTTAAACTGAATATAGAACTGTTTAACAGATGTCTGTTTGGAAGCATTATTATAGACAATCATAGAATATAGATAATCAATTATAGTATCAATATTCCTTATGGAACTAGTATTCGATAAAATTGATTACTTAAGGAATGAAATTTATAAGTTCCATAATATTTTCCAAATGAAATACTAACAGGGTACAAGGGGATTGCAGAAAGGAAATTGATCCAAAAGAAAGGAGAGAAGGGAACCGCAAGAAAATATGAGAGAAACAAATTCCCTGGCCTCCCATATAAATGAAAGCTATATATACATGGTATTTTTATTTTTTGCATTTTCAAAATCAATATCGACGGACCTTTTAACATGAAGGTTTACTCGAGGTCATAACTAATGGATGGGTTGCAAACAGTAAAAGACATGCTTATTATAAAATGTGATGAAAGTACCCCCAGACTGAGGGCAGGTTGACATGCAGGTTAGTGGTACAATGGGTACCATTTCGTGCCTCCTATCACTCTCAGAATATTAACCTAAAGGCGTTCAAATTTACACACTGTATATGCATATACATAGGAGATATGCACCTTCTATTTTCTTTCGGATTTATTTTGCAGATGTCCCGAGGATTAAGCTTCCTGATTTTTTGGCAAAAGTGTCCATATTTCCAAATTTGAAACCTCTACATCCCCACAAACCCTCAGCATACCTTTCAAATGATCTAAAATATCTATATATGTTTATTACCTACTCAGGAATATATCGGTAATGTGTGTTTCTTTTCACTACATCTGATGTATATGGTAAAGAAGAAAGAATTGTTAATTTCATATCTGCTAGGATCAATATTTTTCATCCAATCGAGAACTACTATACATATATGTTTATCAAGATATTTGAAACAAGTTGCATTGTAGTTTCAGATAAGATCTTAGAATGTCTGCTCCAGTTTTAAAAAAGACCGTAGGTGTTTAGCGTTTGTGACTAGTGTCAGCGTGAAGTTTCTTATTGTTTGTATTGTGTCCCTGGTTTGTCTTTGTCTCTTACTTTTCCTTCCACATGCTTGACGCTTCGTTTTTCGATGATTTCCTCTGTTCCGTTCGACACGGTAAGGCCATTCGGTGTCATTGTGTCCTTACGGGAGCGTTCAAAAAGTCAAAGAAACCATATTCTGTCATTTTCATTAACTCATAGACAAGCTTGAAGGAAAATCGTAGTTTCCCTTTTAAAAAACTAAAAATTGGAGCTCATTTGTGGGCAGAGAGAAGAAAATACAGAATAAAATGGATCATGTTAATCTAAGTATGAAAACAAATATTCCTGAACATATCTATCAATAAAAAAGTTTTTTTCATGTAATTGTTGGAATGATTTTTGTTCTCGACTGATTTATTCATGATGTGATATCACTTACGGAAATTAATGGTTTTCATTTGTTTTATGGAAATCTTCCGTTTTCTAAAGTGTTTAATTTTTCAGTAAATGAAAACCTCGCAAAAAGTAAAATTTTACTAGCGCTCCCTTTATAGTTTCTATATGTACTCAAACTGAAATACTCAAATACTAAAATCTTCTTTTCATCTGCTCAAATAAGGATAAAAGTATTTCCGCTGAATTATTCGTACTCAATATGCATCTAGGGATATCTTTAACTGCAGTTATGATTATTAGTTTCACTCTCATTGTTGAGAAATAGGACGTTCGTTGTAAAGGAGAGAATTAGAAAATACTTTGTAATGTCAAGAGTTGATCTTTTTTTCTCATAAACTAGTAACATGTTATCATCGTCACTTATTCACGATCAGCTTTACGTGAACCTTCGTTTTTTCAACGAAAATGTTCATGTATATTACACATAACTTGATAACTACTCTAGCCCTTTTATAGTTTTGTCTGAGCTGCTACATTTATAATGCAAGTTTAAAAAGCTCCATAGGACATTATCTTATACTACTACCTTTATTAAGAACTACCCTTCTCGTTTACCTTAAACCTGGCTTCACCTGCTTTTGTTTATCTTTATCGTAATGCGCAAACATAATAAACTAAAGGGAAAATTGCTGCATGACCATGAGACTGGTGATGATGACTAATTTGTCTAATTTTAGAAAATTATCTACAAACAATATTATATTTTATTTAAAGTGTACTACTCTTACAGTATATTAACGTCTAATTTCTAATTGGATCGATAATTTCCATTGCCATCAGTTCCTTGTCTTATATTTTTCAAATTGAAAGTGTGCCATGTTTTGACTTCTATGAAGCAACGTTAACAGTCCAACAGCACCTGCATACGAATTACATATCGCCAAGTTAATACGATATGCCAGGACTTGTTTATCCTATTATGATTTCTTTGATAGAGGGTTGCTACTCAAGAGTAAGCTAATAAAAAAAGATCAAAGACTCAAATGGCCGCTTTGCCCAGAATATTCGTAAACAATAGAGAATGTTCTATTATTGTATAAAAAATCATGATTATATTGTATTGTATGTATTTGTAACTTGATTGATATGCTTGTATGTACCCTATGATCTGGAAAATCACAACAATAAAATCAAATATGCTGAATATTTATATATTTGTGAATTATGAATTGTAAAAATTCCCCGAACAATTCCATAATAGCATGTGCAGAACTGCAATATATGTGCAATCTACCTGTAAAGTTTTAAGGATCTTGGTTGGAAACTGTAGAAGGTATTGAGTAGACAGTTTGGTACCCCTTTTTCCGAAACCCAGCTCGACCAACCGCCAGCACCAACATCACCGTACTTTAAGCCGGGTTCGGACTTCGTCCCAACCTGCCATCAACTGAACTGTTCGATGTTACACTACGACGTTCCAAATTATGAAAACGAATGATCCAAGACGCGTGTATGATAGCTGGTCAACATCACGCATATGATTTAAATTTTGAATCGATAATCAATGTTTTGGCTCGGTCCCTGTATTTAAAGTCTAATTTGTCAACCTTAGCGTCGAGTATATACCTTTTCGTAACATTTCTATTTAAATGTAACATCTTATTAGTTTATTATCTATATCT